CCTGTCTTGATTGGTACAGATGTGTGTGTTAACTGGTCTATAATGTTACAACTGTTAAATATTCATTGTGCCATAATGGCACTCATTGATCAATGCTTTTGCTTTGCTGTACCTAATGTGAGCAACTATAACCTATTTCATTAACACTCTTTATTAGGCAGAACCCGGCCTAATATAGGCAGCCTGCGTGCCCCACTACCAAAGGCCAAATGTGTGTTCTATTTGCTAACAATCTAAATGACGTGGCTTATAGAAAACCATGTAACTTATGCTAGGTACAGACATTCAGAAAGCCTGAGGTAACACTCATCTGGGTTGCAGCATATGATGGAAGTACTAATTCCATAGCTTTTTAGTAGTTTTATTGTGTATGTACCAACTGTTGAACAGATCTCTGTCCTCCTGTCCTAAAAACAGGTGATGTGGAGCTGCCTCACATTATCTACAAGGACACCTTTCCACTTCCTAGCTTTTGATATCTGTGTGTGGCTGGGGTGAGACAAATGTTACACATATAGAAACTGTATGTTACAACAAACCCGCTAGAGATCTATGTTATAACAAACCTGCTTTATAAAATGTGAGAGGTTGTTGGATCATGACACTACCACATTATTGTTTCAAATATAATTATTTTGATGCATTTCTTAGTAATCACATCATTATACTTCAACCTAGGGCTCCAGGAAACTGTTTAACATTACTGGAAATAGTGGCTCAATCCAAAGGAGCCATAAATAAAATTCTTATATGGATACCCCATTTGGGATCTATTTTTAAGAGTCATTCTTTTTTCCTGGACAAGAATTAACTAGGTCAGGGGTTGGCAACTCCCGGCAGGCATACCAGAGCATGGCATGTGAAGGCATTTTGATTGGCATGCATGCCTTGTTTAATGGTGGGGAAGGGGCAGGAGCTGCACTGCCACAACAAGGATCGGGTCCCTGGCAGCTCTCTTGCCATCTGCCCTAAGGTGTGCATCCACCAGCTGCTGGCAACAAGCTGGGCTGGCACTCAGCAGACCTTGGTGCAGCAGCTTGCAGCCTCTCCTAACTGCTGCAAGCAGCCTGAGCTCTGTGGCGGGCAGCGGTGGCCTGCCCAGGTCAGCTGTGGCACGTGGCTGGGAGGCTGCAGGCAGCTATACCGAAGTCTGCAGAGCCCTTGCTTGGCTTGTTGCTGGTGGCTAGTGCAAGCGTGCCTGGAGTGGACAATAGGGAAGCCACAAGGAGTCTGATCCTTGTGGAAGTGCAGCCCTGGCCCCTTCCCTGCCATCCAGCCCAAGGCGCACGTGCACCCACTGCCAGCAATGAGCTGGACCAGGGCTCCACAGATCTCAGGGCAACAGTTTGCAGCCTCCCTGCCTGCCTGCCTCAGCCAGCCCAGGCTCTGGGCAGGCCACTGCTGTCTGTCACAGAGTCTGGGCTGCTCGCAGCAGGGAGTCTGCAAGCTGCTGCATTGGGGTCTGCGGAGCCCTGGTCTGGCTTGTTGCTGTTAGCAGGTGCATGCCTGCCTTGGGGCAGATGGCAGGGAAGGTGCTAAGGCTGTGCTGGCACCACAAAGATCAGGCCCCTCGTGGCTTCCTTGCCATTTGCTCCTTTCATGCCAACATCTTACAAGTCGAGGTTGGGGAGTATTTTTCAAATAGGTATGTAGTTCACAAACTTTTGTTGCATAATATGTATGTAAAATGATAAGTTAAACTAGCTTAAGTTAATATTTATGAAGGGCATGACATGCTGGCATAATCAGGCCACTTGGATATTTTATAAAGGATGTAAAACTGTATGTAGATAAATTCATTATATACATATAACAACTTTATTTTCACCTTGCTTTCATATTATTCAGTGCATATAAATGAAAACGAAAATACGATACATCAACTTTATCCTGTATATCTAGTTGTACAACATAAGAAAATACTTCAAAAACTAGTATTATAAATTGCCTTAATTGCAGTTTTTTCACTTTTAAAATAAGTACTGGTCTCCTATAGTGATTAATAGAGATCTGTGTATTACTTTTTGGGAAGGATCATATCACAAGTGATGTGTGCGTGTAACACATGCTGCACTTAATGTTTTTAAATAGTGTGAGTCTCTTTCATGGGTTTATATAACTTATTCCAAGAGCTTGCATAATTGCTGTGGTAAACTTTAAAATTTTGTTTCAGTTAGAAGCTTGAGACTATCCATTGGCAGTACTTCTGTTTAGTTCCTCTTAATATACCCATCATATTATTCTAGTACTCTGTGCAGTTAAAATCTAAGCCAGGAAATGTGTGTTTTAGTTAGGGTTTTCCTTTTTCCAGAGGGGAAAATTTAAAAAACAAAATATGTATTTAGTTTTTAATACAAGACCCTAGGTATCCTAACACACTATCAGTGATACAAGAACATCCTCTCAGCATTGAAAAAAAATTCAGAGAGGAGCTCAGCCAGCCAGTCACCCACTTTATTCCTTACTCTTTTATATTTTAGTCCTTGGGCACACAGCAGGTTAGGTTGGTACCTTAGGCCAGGTACAGACATTACACTTTTACTAGTATAAGTAATCAGAAACCAGTCTATCCCCATAACAGAACAGAAGTTTGGTGCATGCAGCTGGTTTATACCCATAACAACAGAAGTTCAGCACATAGACTGGTTTAAAATTGCAGAACCTGATCTAAGATTTACTCCCCCCAAACGGCAGACGTGTTCTGTTCACTACTGATCTAAAACTACTGCTTTCAGAAAACCACGTAACTTAGGTTTCCGCCTTGGGCTTTTTGAATGTCTGTATCTAGCCTTGGAGACTAACTGGTTCAGAAAGTCAAGCTTTTGTAAATGACACCCTGCCCTACTTTCTGCTTGACTTCAGCCTAGCATAGCTAACCATCTCTCTACTTTTATTCTTGAGGAGTGCTGTCAGACAGATGTCTTTTGAAGCAGGCTCACAAGGTCATCAGAACAAGATTCTCTTGCACCAGAAAGGGAACAAAGTCCAATATCTTGGACCTCTAGCAAAGATTGTCTGTTTCTAGTCTTTATCTGTAATGAGGGGGCTGTAACTTGAGCACCACTACTGCCAGCAGCTGTCATAGTATGGCACAGGGAGAGCAGCAAGTAGGGAGGATGCTTTATGGTAAAGTGTTGTTTCTGTTGTACCAGAAAATGGTGAGGTTTGTTAAGTTATTGCGAGTTAGTTTGAGGCTAATACCAAGAAAGCTTTTATGTTTTGTGCATGAGCTGCACTCTTGTAGATAATTACATGGACTGGGGTGGTTGAGGTGTTACCGCATTTACCCCCATACAGCAGAAACTTTTTCTAGTAATTGAGGTGTGATTTAAACAAGGAATCTGGTTTCACTCATGGAGGAGCAGAGCTGCCTAACTCTTCTTTTGAAGCCAGGTGGGCAGCTAGCAGTGCCTGTTGAATCTCCTGAAGATCCACCTGGCTCAAGAAGAGGAGCTGGGCAGTTCAGCTGTAACAGGATCGGGTCCTCAGTTGACTTGAAAAATGCTTCTGGCTGAGATGGACTTCTTGTCCCCTCTTTTCAAGCCTGGTGGGCAGCCAGCAGCACCTTCTGCATTAGCTGGGGGCCTGATCCTACTTGGCCTCTTCTCTTGAGCTGGGTGGGCTGTCAGCTGACTAATCAGATGCTTCTGGCTGCCTGCCTGACTTTAGTAGAGGAGCCAGGTAGTTTAACTTGGCTTGAAGTTACTGCCAAGTCAGTTGAGAGCCAGATCTATTGAAGCCAAACTGCCTGTCCCCTCTTCTTGAACCTAGTGGGCAACCATCACCCACCATATCCTGCAACAAGGGGGCTAATAGCAGCCGTAGGTTTTTGCTCTGCCCTTCCTGCAACTACCTGTGGCTCTTTTCTCTGCAAAAAATACTTACCAGCACTTCAAGGAAAAACTTTTTTGGTTTTCTTGTTTGTTTGTTGTTTTTGGTTGTTTATTCTGCCTTCCAAAAACAAGGCATGTATCTTATTTGGTGGCATATGGTATGTGAGAAAATACAGTATTTTAGGTTGTGTTGCCTGAGACTTTAGCCTTGAGGGCAAGGATTGAGAATACAAACCTGACATGGTCGTGAGTAAATGTCATAAGCAAAACGTAGGGACTTTTGTGCCTTGATCTCCTCATGTCACTGAGATGGCATGCTGAATCAGTTACTAGTTTTCAAGATTTGTTTTTTTTTATCCTCCAATTGTGCTGTGATAATTCAAACAGAGGGCACTAGAGGCACTAATGGCTGGGAGTAGGAAGAATGGGATTGTGATCTAGCCAGTTGGTGATGGTAGCATCCGTAAGAAATGCATCCTACTATACGAGGGCCCAGTGTCAATGAAGAATGCTGTAGGACCCCTAGACTGCAGTCTCTTGACACCTTGGACGTGTCTCTTTGACTGTGGAGACAGTACCAGGGTGGTGTAAGCTGTTCAGAGTGATTCCCTCTGCCTATAATCATCATCTCAGTTTTGCTAGGGTTAAGTTCAGCAAACTCTTCTCATTCATGTGCTAGTTTTGGCCAGATAGTGGGAAGATGGGTGATAATTGTGTAATATGCTGTGAAGGATAGTGTGTGTATGTGTGCATGTATACACTAGCATGCATGTTATGGTTAAATTTTGAATTTTTGAAGTTACTGTTTCACTTAGTGGCTGCATGTAAATATTTAACAAGACCAAGGAGAGTGTGAGTCTTGTGGTATTCCAAAAGGGAGTGCTGTATGGAACTATTTTATGCTTTTTTTTTTTTTACTTTTTAGCATATTTTATTGTCCCAGTTCGTAGTGAAGCTTTACCATATTTGTGAGGTGCAACTTTTTCTTTCACCAAATAATTTCCCGGAATTATGCTTTAAAAGTAGTTCCTCTCATCCTACATAAGATGGACACTGAACATTTTTTTTTTTTCATTGCATTGTTCTGTGAATGACTTGGAAGAGTACTAAAGCTTACAGGTCTTTGTATGCTCTTAATAAAAATCTTCTGTTTGTTTGTTTTTGCAGACCATGAGAAGACACCGAAATGAAGTAACAATTGAATTGCGGAAGGTAATTGGATGTACTTGTGTTTTATCAGCAGCTATTAGATTTTCTGTTTTGCCATTATTTAAAAAGATAGTGGTTTCTCTTTGTCATGACTTTGTCCTGCTTTGTTTAGCATTCATTGCTTTGTCAGAAAGAAACAAGTTAACGTTGCATTTTCCAATGTTGGTAAAGCCATAAGTATTTTTGAAAATTGCTTCAAATGTGGTCATGGCTGTCATTGTATGTAACAGTGAATAAGCATGTTGGCTTGCTTTCTTTGTGGAAATGATCTGAAGTTAATTATTTAACATTGATATCGAATTGTCAGTCACTGGAGCTCTCATGGAAATAAGTGAATTACTCCTGTACAGAACTTAATTCCAGGCTATCTGCAAATTCATGTGAATTCATAGTATGATTAAGGACTGTGATAAAGAGGTTTACTGATATGAGGTGCCTGCAAGCAAAAATGCTTACAGTGCTGTGCTGTCAGCATATCCAGCCTGCATCTTTGACATGCTCTCCTGGCAAAAGCATAATTAACACAATAAGTTGGATTGGTAAGATATAAGTAGGCAGCCTAGTATCCAGTGAAACTCCCTATGATAGTTCAATAATGCCTTGTGGGATATCACACTTCTTTCAGAGAATTGTGGGAGTTTGATGTCAAGTTTCTCCATTACATTCTATACTCTGTTCTTTGTGCAAGTTTTCAGTTTCCCTGTAACCTTGTTAGCATGATGAGCAGGTTAGCAGCATTCTTGCATCTGTTTGGTTGACAGAGCATCTGTTTATTCTGTATCTGAAGAACTTCTGTTACCTCCATAGCAACTGGTCATGCAGTACTAAAAATAGTATTGAGTATATGAGATGGACAGCAAATGAAAATCAGTCAGTGCTGCAATTATTCTCAATGCTTCATGCTTGTTCCACTCAGGTTGGATAGTGTCTAAATTCCATATGACAGCTAATTAGATTCTCAACCAGGGTGATGTGATGAGACCTTTCTAAAAGTGCTAGTATTTTTCAGCACCTTTAGGTGTGCAAACACCTACACATCAATCACAGGATAGGCCCACATATTTCAAATAGAAGTCCATAGTGTTGAAAACACTCTGACCTGTTGTGGTCTATTATTTTTTCCATCGTGAAGAGTGAAAGCCAAGAAGTGGCGCTTACCTGTTGGTGCCTTGAGTCTAAAATGGTTGAGAACCATTGATCTAACTCATAAGGCAAATACAGGGTGATCAGCAGTAGCTAGCAAACTTTTGAAGGTCATATTCTTGGAGTTGCATGCCAAATTTGCTCCAACCATCCAGTACAAACACGAAAAATGAGATCTGTTTTGACAGTGTAGAAGTGGGTGCCAGTTGTGCTGTTAGATTTTGCAACTCCGGAATTATTATTTTGTCAGTGACCAACCAGTTTTGTGTGGGGCAAGGGCATTAAATGGATGTTACAGTTGATTGTGACAGCACAATGTGAAGGAAGTAGAAGGTTTTGATGTAGTGAACTTCCTAAATGGGGGCGGGGAGAGTTGTTAAAACAGAATACAATCTGATTCTGGTTTAACCATTCTTATTCTGGAGCACAACTTGTTTCTGAATATGTAAACAAAGGGGTAGTTTTACTTTGGTATTGCAACCATGAGTGGACATTTCAATAATGCTGCTGTTTGGTCAGAGAACATGTATCTTTTGGAGTACAGAATGTTCTGAAAGCTGTAACCACAGGCATTTTTCCTAGACTGGGCCCCAGTCGCACTAAGCTTGCAGCCACAGTTGTGATCCTTGGGTACCCAAGAATATCCTGCTTCCCTGCCTCATGAAGCCATACAGTTGGCACCTGGGCAGCAGAATGGAAGAAACTTAATCTGAACAGGTGCAAGATGACTATCAATGCTCCATTGCTAGAAACTTCATCTCATTGAGTCAAAGATTACTACTGTTGCTGTTTTTGAAGCAAACGGTAGTAGAAAGGCATGAGAGTATCGAACACAAAGACGCAAGGGCAATTTCAAGAGTGTATCACAATGTATGAGTGGTTGGAGTGGTCCATAGTTAGTTAGCTTTGTTTTGCTTTGTGAGTAAATTTTATTTTGCTTTTCAAGTTTGTTTTCTCCCTCTTTACTTTCTTAACATGATGTATGTGGGGATGGATACTAATTCGTAGTTTACAGGTCATATAAAACATTAAAATATTCATAAAAACACTTTTACTAAGCAGTAATAAACACTAATATGTGAATTGCAGACTAATGGAAGATGTTAATTTGTTGTCTTCAAAACTGCATATGATCTTGCTCCACTTCCTTATGCCCCTTTCAGCCTTTCCTCAAGTGTGCCTTCCTTAGTGCCATATTGCCTTAAGGTACACTCCCTCTTCAAAAAGGAGAGAGACTCCTATTTACTAGTTCCTGTGTGCTTTATTCTTTATGGCATTGAATAAAAGGTTGTTTTTTACCCTTAAGAAACTCTGGATAGTGAGGCTATCATGGCTACAAAGCATATCTGTTGTCCTCGTTCCAGTTCAGGGTTGCAGCTAACCAAGCCCTGTTTATAGATTCATAGATGTTAGGGTCGGAAGGGACCTCAATAGATCATCGAGTCCGACCCCCTGCATAAGCAGGAAAGAGCGCGGTCTGACCAGTGCTCGATAGAGGGGAAGTATCACCTCCTTGGACCTATTCGTCATGGACCTTGGACCTATTCGTAATGTTGCCGATGTTTAGTAAATAGTTTTCTCATTTGAAGGGAGGGATAAGGTTATTTATTCCCTTTCTATTTAGTTTCCACAAGATAATAGGGATGATTAATTAAGAAATTATTGAGGAAGGCCAGATGGTCACAAGAATACTCCTAACAGGCAACCATAGACTTGTTGGATACAGTCAGTGGCCATAGCTGTTTGGTGTGAGACAAACCTTGTGGATTTTCAGATATTTGATGCAAGGTATACTACACTAGCGTAAGGATTGGCATCCTTTTGCCCAATTCAACACAGTTCAATCCAGCACAGGAGTCAGTGGCAGAGAACTGCACCATGCTATCCACCCCTGTACAGCACTCCCCTGTGCTGTGGAGTAGTCTGCTTTGCAGCATCTGTGCTTTCCTTGCTGTGCAAGGGTCAGGACTCTGCAGAGAGGGAAGTATAAATGTGGTAGAGCAGAGTGAATGCAGGTAGGTAGCTGCCAGTGGTGTGGGAGGAGGGCAGTTATTCAAAAGGACTTGATTTCATGCCCAGAAGGTACGTAGACAGTTTCAGGGAGCAATTTAGCAACATCCCAGCCACAGACTACTGTAGGGTAAGTGACCCTTGCTTTCAACCCCAAAACTCCTTTGCTGTGCCAAAATAAGCGGTTACCGTTAGAGGTGCACCGATACATCAGTCCCATATCGGATTGGCACTGATATAAAAAAAATCAACAGTATTGGCAATTAGGTTTTTTTGGCTGATGTGGCCAATAATGTTGCCGATAAACGCCTTTTGCATGCGCGCAGCCAGGAGCGCAGCCCAACAGCGTGGAGAGTAGCAGAGTCCAGCTGGTAAGTCTGTGAGGGAAGGGGCTTGGGCAGTGGGGGGGCAGATCAAGGCCTCAGTGGTGAGGGAGGGAATGGGGCTGGGGCTCAGGCAGGTGCTGCACGGGCAGCGTGGGGTGCAGGACGGAGCTGCAAGTGGCTCATCTGGGGAGCGTGGGGAGGGGGGATGGCTTCTGCCGCTGCATGCACCCCAGGAGGGCAAGCGGGATGCATGCCCCCAGATCTCTGCACGGGGTGAGGGCGACTGCAGCGGTGCTAGGCTCTTCCTAGCAGGAGGCAGGGCTACACTCAGGGCAAGTGACAGAGGGAGGGTTGCAGGGGGCCTACAGCGAATTTTGGGGTGGCTGTAGCCCTCCTTGCAGCATTATTGCTGCCTGTCCCAAGTGGAGCCTAGCCAGTGCCCCACTGGGAACAGCTCTGCTTCACCCCAGCCCACAGCAGCAGCCCACCCTCACCCTGCATGCAGATTCGGGGGCACATGCCCCCCCATGCCCTCCCGGGGTGCATGCAGCAGCAGCAGATGCCCCCACACCCCCCAGATGAGCTGCTCGTGGTTCTGTCTTGCACCCTGCCTCTAGCTGTGCAACGCCTGCCCCTGCTGCAGTCCTACTCTTT